ATGACCTTTGTTTGTCCTGTTTTTCTCATTTGATTTCACGCATAACGTGGAAAATGGCCAAAACACATACTCGTGATTTCTATTAGATGAGCGCATTGGATTGTGGGAAAATCAATGTTTATCAACACAAATGTCGCACATGTGCAGCAAGATGACCACCACACATCAATAAAATATTATTTTTGAAAATGTTAATTGGGAAGAAGTAGCTTATTTTTTTTACAGTTTTTTTTTTTTTGACTGATAAAGCACAAATATTCAATTTTGCGAAGGGTTTTTGGTAGCTAGATTTTGGAAAACTGACAACTTGAATGAAGTGCTACTTCAGTTAGTGGTTCAGACTTCGCAGATCGTGAATTCCTGCAAGAGCGCAATAACTAATGCTGATCATGTAATGCTAAATACTGTATGCACTAAACATCGATTCCATGACATGGACTCTTTTGATGCGTTATAAGCATCCCACGAATTACCGTGGTTAAAACTTGGTAGTGTCATTTTTTTTTTGAACATGTTGATCTGTTCAAAAGAGCCATCTTAATTAAAATAGAACCAATATTTCATGCATGTGTGGCATGAAGACAGGGTTCCTTTAAAATACAAATCAAAACATCATTTGATGCTGGTACGTTGTATAGGCAAATATACATACTGTAAAACATAATGAAAAGGTGACATACTAATTTAGCGAATTGTGGTAAAATGACGTAATAGCGAAATGTTGATTTAGCAAAAAAAAAATTGTCAAGTGTGATAAGGAAGCGCTCCAGATTTTTATTTTCTGTGTTGTTTACGAAGTGTGTGTGCGTGAAAAAGACGTTGAAAAAGCGAATTAGTTCTCTCGCTAAATTCGCTAAAAAGACATGCTCGCGAAAAAGACATGTTTTACAGTACATTGTATGTTAAACCTTGTTGAATTTTTTTTTGTCTGTACATGTTGATCTTATCAAAGTTGCCATCTTTATTGAAATGGAACCAATATTTCATCAGTGCACATGTGACAACTAGGTCTTTCCAAAAGTACAAATCAACACGCCATTTGATGCCCGTATGTTGTTCCGTGTATATGCAAATATAGTCAATTTTTATTAGGACCCATAAGGTATGTTGCCTGGCAACAAGATAATCCTCATTAGATGTCCTTATGGCTTGTATTTGGATTAGAATTTTAGATTTAACTGACATTTCAACTACATGATTGCTGCAAGGAATCACAGGTCACAGGTCAAAGATTACATAAGACTACTACAATAATAGAAGAGTACATGTACTCTTGTCCTTACAAACATTCCAATGTAATTTTCACTGACAAGGCTTGTGTGGTTTTTGTATGGAATTTATTTTCACTGATTTTTGATGTCTTGAATGTGAAATATTATAAAAAAGGTATATTCGCTGGCTTTTATTTTCACTGAATCATCCCTTCAGTGAAAATAGCGAAAATCAATTCCAAGCGTAAATAAAATATTCGACAGTAGAAGGGTTAAAATTGGCATCCAGAACCTACAAGTCTTAACAATGAAATTAACTGCAAAAATAAATTAAAAGTGAAAAAAATAATTACCTAAAAATTAAAATACACTTGCCTTGAATAAAAAGTCACTGTGTAAAATTGAATAACATAATTTCCCTAAATTATAGTATTATTTATTATTAATTTGCAGACATTTTGGCAAGTAAACAAAAAATCTGGTGGTCAGGTATAAATTTTCATATTTGAGTTGACTGGTAGTTTTTAAATCAGTAGTATGGTGATGACCTGGAATCCATTTTGAACTCTACATTGAGCAATTAAACACAAATTTTTGATCAATAAAATCCACAACACTTTTTCAAGATAATCAAGAATAATTTGGTTAACCTTGTTAAACTAACAGTACCTGAATTTACAAAATTTCTGCGAACGGTGTGGGGGGGGGGGTCAACTTGTGTTGATGCAGTTGAATGGGAACAGGGTCAATATAAGGAATACCACTAAAGTGCAAGTCACTCCAGCATTTTAAACACGCCCGCCTGTGACGTAAAAGTGTGCCAATGTCCGGAAACCAGGACAAGCCATTCATGTTTCGGTGTCATTGATACTAGTACGTTGGTGAATAGCTACGAAGCTGTAAGAATAGAACGTTCGAGTCAGCTGGCGTACAAATTTTAAAAAGTATATGCGATTAATATGTAGATATTTATTTGGACGCCAATAGCCTCAATTTCGGTGATAACAGAATTCGAAATTTGACAAAATCATGTCGTAGCGTCTGTCGTGTTGAATCCGTCTGTCAAGCTTTGTTGGTCCATCAATGGAGCTACTTCTATTTTAGCGCTGTGGGTCGTACTTGAAGACTTCGAGGGGTAATGCAACCAACTGCCAACCTGAAGGGCATTTGCGAGTTGCGGTAAGAGTTTAAAGTTGGGTTTGAATTATAAGGTTAATATTTTACATAAAATACAGAGCTCTAAATCTGTGTTGCAAGTGCGGTGCACTGGAATGAAGGAGGGGTGTGTTATGTTACGCCGATCGTACAATAAAATACAATAGTACCAGTAGTGGTAGTAGCAATTTGAGTCTTTGAATTTTGTGCCCGGATCAACTCTAGCTCGATGTACGGGTTATATGTCTTCCAACGTGGCGGTGCTCGTTTCTGTTGGAATCCTTATCAACCCCCGTCACGTTGCAATGTAAATACTACCTCTGAAATAGCCATGCACACAGGGCGAGGTCCAGACATGCAATTCGTTTGTATATAGCATATGGCAAGAAACCAGTACCGGGCAGCGTAAGTCTACGTTACCGCGTATAACAGTAAATGATATAACGACAATCTTACCTTGTTACGTGGACGTCGAGCAGAATATGTCGCTATATCCCGGTCGACGATGGGCGTATGTACAACGAGCCAGAACAGCGAGTACCCCTAGACAACACGTGTCAAAGTAGATCAATGGAAACACTCTGTTTACACCGTACATGGACCGGGGTCGTGTGCAGGGTTCACGACCTCTGCTGACTAAATGCCGAAGTTCTAACTGCAACAGTTGCACGGTACCGTAGTCCACGGTTAGTTAAAAAGGATTAGCCTACACTTGCATACATCCTTGTTTATTTATTTATTTTTTTAAATAAAATTTCATGGGAGTTTGTAAATGCCGAAAGCCGTGTTATCGCGAAATAAACAGTGCACTTGTGACCCTTGTAGACGCCCTCTTGCGATGATGATTGTCACCGGTCTTGATTCGTTGCGTGATGCAATGATTGGCGGACTCGTTAATATTCCACCAATCAGCGGTAAGATCAAAATAGAAGTTAGTTTTGTCTCGATAAAAACACGCTTGTTTATTTCGCGGTAACCGAGCTTTCGTCATTTATACACTGCCATATTTTCTTTTCTTAAAGGGCGGTAGTAGTCGCGCCAAGAGTACTCACTAAAACGAAGGACCGCGAAGGACCGAAGGACCAAACCAAAAGACCGAAGGACTTAAACGGGTGTAATAACTATAAAACGCTGATACAAATTACGTTGTTATACGTTGCATTTGTTCACAAATTATGCAGTAGCGATTAAATTTACAAAAATAATAAAAAAGCGAAGGACCACAATTATATTATAAATATGAGCGAAGGACCACGATTATATTATAAATATGAGCGAAGGACCGTGATTACGTGACAAATATGAGCGAAGGACCACGTTTATATTATAAATATGAGCGAAGGACCACGTTTTTATTAAAAATATGAGCGAAGGACCACGATTATATTATAAATATGAGCGAAGGACAACGTTTCTATTAAAAATATGAGCGAAGGACCACGATTATATTATAAATATGAGCGAAGGACCATGATTACGTGATAAAAATGAGCGAAGGACCACGTTTTTATTGTAAATATGAGCGAATGACCGTTATTACGTGGCTAATATGAGCAAAGGACCACGATTATATTATAAATATGAGCGAAGGACCGTGATTACGTGACAAATATGAGCGAAGCACCACGTTTATATTATAAATATGAGTGAAGGACCACGATTATATTATAAATATGAGCGAAGGACCACGTTTTTATTATAAATAAGAGCGAAGGACCACGATTACGTGCTAAATATGAGCGAAGCACCACGTTTATATTATAAATATGAGCGAAGGACCACGTTTATATTATAAATATGAGCGAAGAACCACGTTTATATTATAAATATGAGCGAAGGACCACGTTTATATTATAAATAAGAGCGAAGGACAACGATTACGTGATAAATATGAGCGAAGGACCACGTTTTTATTAAAAATATGAGCGAAGGCATGCGCGAGATATATAGGTCTCATCAGAGGTACCCATTACTTGGGGTTTGCAACGCGCATAGTACTATATGGTGACATCATGCCAAGATCCCATTCAAGTCTCATCTCGTAGATAGCGAGACTGATGCTACGACATTCTGACATGACATAGGCGGTTTATAATAAAACAATAACACATGTATTACCACATTCATAGTGAAAAAATGTAATACATCGAAAATGTACAGAAAATATAGTTATCGTAATCCGTGAGCTGCTATTTTGATAAACCTGGACATCCCATTATCAGGTCCCAGTATCATAGTTACCTCGGGCATGCGCTTTCGCATTTTTCTG